CCTCACCATACAAGGTCCACACCACCAGCATCATGGTCCTCACCATACCAGGTCCACACCACCAGCATCACGGCCCTCACCATACCTGGTCCACACCAACTGCATCACGGTCCTCACCATACCAGGTCCACACCACCAGCATCACGGTCCTCACCATACCAGGTCCACACCACCAGCATCACGGTCCTCACCATACCTGGTCCACACCACCTGCATCACGGTCCTCACCATACAAGGTCCACACCACCAGCATCATGGTCCTCACCATACCAGGTCCACACCACCAGCATCACGGTCCTCACCATACCAGGTCCACACCACCACCATCACGGTCCTCACCATACATGGTCCACACCACCAGCATCACGGTCCTCACCATACAAAGGCCACACCACCAGCATCATGGTCCTCACCATACCAGGTCCACACCACCAGCATCACGGTCCTCACCATACCTGGTCCACACCACCTGCATCACGGTCCTCACCATACCAGGTCCACACCACCAGCATCACGGTCCTCACCATACCAGGTCCACACCACCAACATCACGGTCCTCACCATACCAGGTCCACACCACCAACATCACGGTCCTCACCATACCTGGTCCACACCACCTGCATCACGGTCCTCACCATACCAGGTCCACACCACCAGCATCACGGTCCTCACCATACAAGGTCCACACCACCAGCATCATGGTCCTCACCATACCAGGTCCACACCACCAGCATCACGGTCCTCACCATACCTGGTCCACACCACCTGCATCACGGTCCTCACCATACCAGGTCTACACCACCAGCATCACGGTCCTCACCATACCAGGTCCACACCACCAGCATCATGGTCCTCACCATACCAGGTCCATACCACCACCATCACGGTCCTCACCATACCTGGTCCACACCACCAGCATCACGGTCCTCACCATACCTGGTCCACACCACCACCATCACGGTCCTCACCATACCAGGTCCACACCACCACCATCACGGTCCTCACCATACCAGGTCCACACCACCACCATCACGGTCCTCACCATACCAGGTCCACACCACCTGCATCACGGTCCTCACCATACCAGGTCCACACCACCAGCTTCATGGTCCTCACCATACCTGGTCCACACCACCTGCATCACGGTCCTCACCATACCAGGTCCACACCACCAGCATCACGGTCCTCACCATACCTGGTCCACACCACCTGCATCACGGTCCTCACCATACCAGGTCCACACCACCAGCATCATGGTCCTCACCATACCAGGTCCCACCACCACATCATGGTCCTCACCATACCAGGTCCACACCACCAGCATCACGGTCCTCACCATACCTGGTCCACACCACCTGCATCACGGTCCTCACCATACCAGGTCCACACCACCACCAGCATCATGGTCCACACCACCACCATCACGGTCCTCACCATACCAGGTCCACACCACCAGCATCATGGTCCTCAACACACCAGGTCCATACCACCAGCATCATGGTCCACACCATACCAGGTCCACACCACCAGCATCACGGTCCTCACCATACCAGGTCCACACCACCAGCATCATGGTCCTCACCATACCAGGTCCACACCACCAGCATCACGGTCCTCACCATACCAGGTCCACACCACCAGCATCAGGGTCCTCACCATACCAGGTCCACACCACCAGCATCACGGTCCTCACCATACCAGGTCCACACCACCAGCATCACGGTCCTCACCATACCAGGTCCACACCACCAGCATCACGGTCCTCACAATACCAGGTCCACACCACCAGCATCACGGTCCTCACCATACCAGGTCCACACCACCAGCATCACGGTCCTCACTATACCAGGTCCACACCACCAGCATCTTGGTCCTCACCATAAAAGTTCCACACCACTAGCATCACGGTCCTCACCATACCAGGTCCACTCCACCAGCATCACGGTCCTCACCATACCAGGTCCACACCACCAGCATCACGGTCCTCACCATACCAGGTCCACACCACCAGCATCATGGTTCTCACCATACCAGGTCCACACCACCAGCATCACGGTCCTCACCATAAAAGGTCCACACCACCAGCATCACGGTCCTCACCATACCAGGTCCACACCACCAGCATCATGGTCCTCACCATACCAGGTCCACACCACCAGCATCACGGTCCTCACCATACCAGGTCCACACCACCAGCATCACGGTCCTCACCATACCAGGTCCACACCACCAGCATCACGGTCCTCACCATACCAGGTCCACACCACCAGCATCACGGTCCTCACCATACCAGGTCCACACCACCAGCATCACGGTCCTCACCATACCAGGTCCACACCACCAGCATCATGGTCCTCACCATACCAGGTCCACACCACCAGCATCACGGTCCTCACCATACCAGGTCCACACCACCAGCATCATGGTCCTCACCATACAAGGTCCACACCACCAGCATCACGGTCCTCACCATACCAGGTCCACACCACCAGCATCACGGTCCTCACCATACCAGGTCCACACCACCAGCATCACGGTCCTCACCATACCAGGTCCACACCACCAGCATCACGGTCCTCACCATACCAGGTCCACACCACCAGCATCACGGTCCTCACCATACCAGGTCCACACCACCACCATCACGGTCCTCACCATACCAGGTCCACACCACCAGCATCACGGTCCTCACCACCACAGCAGGTCCTCACCACCAGCATCATGGTCCTCACCATACCAGGTCCACACCACCAGCATCACGGCCCTCACCATACCTGGTCCACACCACCTGCATCACGGTCCTCACCATACCAGGTCCACACCACCAGCATCACGGTCCTCACCATACCAGGTCCACACCACCAGCATCACGGTCCTCACCATACCTGGTCCACACCACCTGCATCACGGTCCTCACCATACAAGGTCCACACCACCAGCATCATGGTCCTCACCATACCAGGTCCACACCACCAGCATCACGGTCCTCACCATACATGGTCCACACCACCAGCATCACGGTCCTCACCATACAAGGGCCACACCACCAGCATCATGGTCCTCACCATACCAGGTCCACACCACCAGCATCACGGTCCTCACCATACCTGGTCCACACCACCTGCATCACGGTCCTCACCATACCAGGTCCACACCACCAGCATCACGGTCCTCACCATACCAGGTCCACACCACCAACATCACGGTCCTCACCATACCAGGTCCACACCACCAGCATCACGGTCCTCACCATACAAGGTCCACACCACCAGCATCACGGTCCTCACCATACCAGGTCCACACCACCAGCATCACGGTCCTCACCATACCAGGTCCACACCACCAGCATCATGGTCCTCACCATACCAGGTCCACACCACCACCATCACGGTCCTCACCATACCTGGTCCACACCACCAGCATCACGGTCCTCACCATACCTGGTCCACACCACCACCATCACGGTCCTCACCATATCAGGTCCACACCACCACCATCACGGTCCTCACCATATCAGGTCCACACCACCACCATCACGGTCCTCACCATACCAGGTCCACACCACCTGCATCACGGTCCTCACCATACCTGGTCCACACCACCAGCTTCATGGTCCTCACCATACCTGGTCCACACCACCTGCATAACGGTCCTCACCATACCAGGTCCACACCACCAGCATCACGGTCCTCACCATACCTGGTCCACACCACCTGCATCACGGTCCTCACCATACCAGTCCACACCACCAGCATCATGGTCCTCACCATACCAGGTCCCCACCACCATGGTCCTCACCATACCAGGTCCACACCACCAGCATCACGGTCCTCACCATACCTGGTCCACACCACCTGCATCACGGTCCTCACCATACCAGGTCCACACCACCACCAGCATCATGGTCCTCACCATACCAGGTCCACACCACCACCATCTCGGTCCTCACCATACCAGGTCCACACCACCTGCATCACGGTCCTCACCATACCAGGTCCACACCACCTGCATCATGGTCCTCACCATACCTGGTCCACACCACCAGCATCATGGTCCTCACCATACCAGGTCCACACCACCAGCATCACGGTCCTCACCATACCTGGTCCACACCACCAGCATCACGGTCACCATACCAGGTCCACACCACCAGCATCATGGTCCTCACCAGAATGAAATATGCCACATTGCAGGCGTCTCTTTTATTCAACCTCCTCTAACTATTGAGCCTTCCCAAACCACTTCCGGTCAACATGTCAACAGTGTTCTCACAATAAATGGGGCCAAACAATGACCGTCTCATATTGCACTTGAGGTCACGTCTGTGACTCGCTGCCTCTACTGGAGTCCTGTGTAGCCACACCTTGCCTTCCTCCCTGGCCGCTGACCCAGAGTGCCTCCCGCCCACTGGCTCCAATCCATTTGCCACTAACATACTCCTCCTCACGCTCCATCCACTACTTACGCCGGCGGCTCGTTGAGAGAGAGACTAAATAATGTTTAGAAAATAATCTGGATACAACATTGTTGCAAGTAAGTTATGGATGGTCATGGTGCGAGGATGTACTCGCCAAGCAGGTATTGTGGGTCTCGCTTCATGCAGGTCGGCATTCAATTCCCGACCTTCCAAGTGGTTGAACACCATTACTCCCCCCCCCCCCGTCCCATCCCAAATCCTTATCCTGACCCCTTCCCAGCTCTATAAATTTGTAAGAGCTTGGCGCTTTCCCCTGATAATTAACAAAATAGATATTAAAAAATTATTTAATTTAATGTAATTTTATTTATGATGTATAATTGATTTAATTATTAATTAATGGATGGTTATAGTATAAAGTGGAACTGATAGGAAGGTTTAAATGGTTCCAGCAAGAAATAAGAAATAAAGACTTAAATATAATGCATACGTTATTGCATGGCAATAACTTAAGCATTTGGATTTTATATACAAATTTGATTTTAATTGCAATATTTTATCTCTTTTCTATAACAGTGAAGAACATTGCTAGGAGCAACAGCAGTATCTGATGAGTACAGCAGCTGTTGCAAGACCAGGTGACAGAGCAGTGCCTGAGAACAGCAGCAGCATCACAGGAATAAGCTGCACATCCATAAGTACTCTACAGCAGCAGCAGTTGTGGCCAGAGCCAAAGATGAGTCAACACCACCACAATGGCCACAGGAAACAACACAACAAGAAAGTCAGGATTAACAGGGCGAGGAAGAGGCAGAGTTTGGTGACGACTTCTGCTGTGTTGCGGCTGTTTATTGTGATGGCTGCTACGGTGTCTCTTGTCCACACCCTGGCTCTCCCGGCCCCTGCTGACTCCCTGCCTCTCCCGGCACCTGATGACTCCCTGCCTCTCCCGGCCCCTGCTGACACCCTGCCTCTCCCGGCCCCTGCTGACTCCCTGCCTCTCCCGGCACCTGCTGATACCCTGCCTCTTCAGGCCCCTGCTGACACCCTACTTGCTGACACCGTGCTTGTTAATATGGTACCTGATGGCACAGTACCTGCTGACATGGTGACTGTTGACATGGTGTTTGTTGACATGGTTCCTACTAACACTCTGCCTGTTGGCACGGTGCTTGCTGATATCCTGCCGGTTGAAACGTTATCTACTGACACTCTACCTGCTGACATGGTACCTGCTGATACAGCATCTACTACTCCAGCACGAGTTGACCAAATACTAATAGATTCAGCATCTGCTGACTCATCACCTGGTGATCCATCATATGCTGACTCATCGCCTGCTGATCCTTCATCTGCTGACCCATCATCTGCTGACCCATCATCTGCTGACCCATCACCGGCTGATCCATCACCTGCTGACCTGACAACTGCCTACCTGTTTCCATCTACTCTGTCCTCAACTTATCCAACTCGTCAAGGTATGTGTTATCATGTTATGAACAAGGCTGTTCTTCATAATTTAAAATAACAAAGGTTCATTAACGTAGGTGAAATTACACACCAGATGAGAACAGATTACTTACAAAAGCACATGTGGCATGTTAAGTATGTAAATGAAGTTTTATGATTAATTAAATAAACAGTCAGCATATGTAAAGTAACCAGTAGGCATGTAATGTGTTAAGTTTGCATGGGGAATTGAATGTTTTAATTAATTCTTATATGTGCTGGCATCATTTTGAAATGTTAGTACCTAATTTGGAATAACATACATATCTAGTTATATGTCTATGTAATAACGTATTAAGAAACTAGGCTAATGTCTTGATATGCATTATGCATTAGGTTGTAATTTTTCTTGTGATTCACAGAGATTAGTGTAATAGATCATAAGCAGTTTGTAAGCATAGTTACCATACATTAAGAGTTATAAAGTAATTGAACAGAGGTGCCGTATGTCCATATAGCTTAAATTTAATGGTCGACAGAGAGTTGTCATGAAATTTCATACACCAGCTGAAGGTGCAATTCTGCTACATTTCCAGCTGTGGTTTAAAGGGACGGATGTATACCACTGATTTCAGAAATATTATACTTTGTAACGGGTTTTTCGTGGGTGGCAATATACTACATACCTGGAGATGTTTCATTGTTATTAGGTATATATAATACATGCTATGTTACCTGTTATTTTAGCTACACGTGTCTGTTAAAGTATACTTGGCTACACGGAGTGAGAAAGCTAGTAACTTTACCGCCTCCCAAAGTTAAAAGTCAGTTTGTCTATTGATGTAGTAGATATAGAACATGTACTACTGGGCAACTACTCCAACAATTAACTACCCTTTTTACCTTTAAGTTAAATGATTGTTTTAGGGTCAAGTATTCAATAGGTTAGTTACAATATAAGATAAAAATATTTCCACAGTTTTTTATAAAGTAATAAAAATTTGATTGTAAAATAAAATTTGAGAAACTGCATAAGTGACAAAAATCTTGTAAACTCTTTCTATAAGTTTCTAATGAGGGAAAGATTTTTCCCATGGCAGGGAGAAATAACAGGTAGAGTAAGCTTTACCATTAAATAATATCAACACAATACAATATCTTGAATGTGGATATTTTAACACCAGAACGAGAGCCTAGTTAATAAAATAGAGTCAACAATTGAATCGCGACAAACACGATTTGTATTATTTGAAATTTAAAACAGTCTTATCTTTCCACATTTGACACAATTCAATGTTGCACAATAATGACAATTATGTGCACATTAAAGTTTCCATCAAACTCTAAAGAATTATGTTATCAAGATAATTATTAATAAGTATGACCACTGGTAAATGTGTAAACATAGAAAATGTTAAGGAATGGGTTGCTTGCTGCTCCAAAATTACATCGGATTTTTTACATAGAGTTACTTAGGCCAAAAACTGAAGCACCATAAATCGTAGCGGCTCGCAAAATGTTCGTACTCTGTTTTCTGTTAGTGGGTCCTCGTGTAGGGTAATTTCAGGAAATTTAGTACATCAGTTTAATACGTTAGAAACGTATGGGAAAACGGGCTGGAGCAGCGAGCAGCCCTTCGTCTGCATCATATGGATTCTTAAATCCCTGTTATTGGGTCGGTATAAGAGGGATTGACTGAACACTTTACCTCTCTCCCTAATATTAACTTGATATACTTATGCAACTACAATGCTCTTCACCTGACAATTTATAATCATTACTGACTATGTCTCGAAGTTTGAGTTAAAGAGGCAGAAAGGGACCTCAGGAATCCTCAAGTTGTGCCTTCGGCCTGTAATCTGACGTTACAGTGATTGTCAGGTGAGTATAACATCTCTATCTCTATGCACATATTATCTGGATCCATTTATTCATGTATAATTATATATTCAGATGATGAGTCATAATAACGTGGCTGAAATATGTTGACCAAATCACTCACTAGAAATTTAAGAGACGACGACGTTTCGGTCCGTCCTGGACCATTATCAAGTCGATTATGATGAGACGCGGGGGGTAAGGGCATTAAGTAGGCAAGAGAGAAATGAGGAGATGGAAATCTTAGAGGAAGATAAGTGCAAGGCAAAAGGTACGGAAGGTAAGGTGTAATAAAGGGTGTAATAATAGGAATAAGAAAGGGATCGTAAGAGAAAAAAAACTAAGATAAAAGGAAGGGTAAGATTATGTTAGGTCACGTTTATTAGAAAGTGTAAGCCATTTGAGTACATACTGTGAAAGGGAAGAATCAACAGCAACAAAGCCAGGACTAGGTTGTGTATCAGAGCCGATTCGACAAGACGGCGTCAGTGTAGAGGTAGGAAAGATTATTTTAGAGGAAGACCAATGAATAGGATGATTAGGATCTCTAACATGACAGAAGAGAACATTGTTTGTGTCTGCGGACCTAACTCTTCTTTTGTGTTCCTTTTGTCTGTCATTTAGTGTTCGGCCAGTTTCACCAAAGTATTGGAGAGGAAAAAACGAACAACGAATAGAGTAGACACCAGCAGCAGGAGGAGCAGTGTGAACTAGATTGCTACGAAGAGTGTTAGTTTGTCGAAAGACAAGCTTTATGTCAAGAGGACGAAAGGTATTAGTAGGAGTTTTGAGTTCAGAAATAAAGGGAAGGCAGAGCAGTGCTAATTGTGCTGGAAGTAGGTTTAGGATGAAAGAAATTTTGTTTAGCTTGAGAATAGACACAGTTGATAAAATAAAACGGGTAACCAAGGCGAGAGAATGATTTGTAGATAAAGGAAATTTCAGAATCAATAACCTGAGGGTCGCTGATGCGTAGAGCGCGGAGGAAGAGAAACAAGAATATTTTTCTGAAGAGGATGATGGTAGGAAAGGAAGTGAATGTACTTGAAAATGGTCCAGGCCGGACCGAAACGTCGTCGTCCCTTCAATTTCTAGTGTGTGGTTTGGTCAACATAATTATATATTCTTACTCAAATGCTGGCTACATAGTATAACATCAACCAAACACTGGTAGTGATCTGTTCACATTTGTATGTCTACATAACTTTATTGTGAAATTAGGGCAGACCTTAATAATCTAAAATTCAAATCCCATTGTTCTGATGGAAATTCCCTGTTGAAATGATAATTAACGTTAAGCAATAAACTCACTTGTAGGTCTCCGATTCTCGTATACATTATATATGAGAATGTATAGTCTTCAACACAATAATGCCTGTAGCCTCTTCACTTTCAAACTATGTATTATAGTATTGGGTTAACCACCCTGAAAAAACTCATTAACTTTGACATTTGGGATTACGGAGCATTTTGGTTTCACATTTCCATTTACATGATACACATGAGCAAAGTAAAAAATTTCCATTTGTCCCATTTTACATTCCATGCGGTTGTGATCCATGAGTCTTTCAATTTTTTCCGAGTCCTCAGTACTCCAGTTCACACATGATCTTCGTATCAACTGTGCATTCCCTCTCCTCGACGTATACGTCAAAACCAGAGACGCCACCTTTACTACTGACGTCTACACGACACCAACAATCATGGGTGTGTGTGTGTGTGTGGATGGCCTCAGTGAGTGACGCTACTGATACAAGACAAGTGTGATGAACTCATACACACTTAGACCTCTCATCCACTTCACAAACTGAACCAGCGCACAAAGAATTTGAGAATATGGTGCAAGCCCCAGTAAACTATGGATAAACAAAGAAGTGAACACCTGTATTACGAAGTATCTAAATAAATTGTACAACTCCACCCACACTAGCAGACGCCCCCACGCAAGTTAGTCAGTAAACTAGCCCGACATTCAAGAAAATAGGCAAGCAGGCAGTCAGGCTGACAGGAAGGCAAAATTATAGGCAGGGAGACAAAACTCAGACATAGAGGCAAGCGATCTGGAAGGCAGGCCATCAGGAAGGAAGACAGGCTTGCAGAATGGCCAGAAAGCAGGAGGTGACGCAGAATGACAATCAGGCTGGTAGGTTTGCAAAATGGCAGGCAGGTTGACAGGATGGCATGGGTCTGGGAGGCAGGATTGCAAGCAGGCTGGGAGGCATGATTCAGGCGGGAAGGATGAGAGGCAGGTTGGCAGGACAGCAGATTAACTGGCAGGCGGGACGTCCTGCAGACTGGCAGGAAGGCTGGCAGGCTGTGAGGCACACTGATATCATGGCAAGCAGTCTGTCATGACGGCAGGCAGGCTAGCATTTCGGCAGGTAAGCTGGCAGGCAGGCTGGCAGGAGAGAAGGAAGAACGGCAACAGGCTGGCAGGTCGGAAGACTGGTTGACAGGACGGCAGTAAGGTTGACAAGATGGCAGGAATGTTGACAGGACTGCAGGCAATACAGCAGGTAGGCTGACAGGAAGGCATACAGACTGGTAGGACGTCAGGCAGAAAGCTGAAAGATTGGTGATCAGTCTGTGAGACACGCTGGTATGATGGGAGGCAGGCTAGCAGGATGATAGGCAGGATGGCAGGACTGCAGGCACACTTGCAGGAGGGTAAACAGGCTTTGATGGTCGACAGAACGGCAGGAAGTGTTGGAAATTTCCAACAGTTATTCTCATCCCTAATACAATAGGATGTATTTCCTGTATACACACACTTCACACTCATTTAATACTTATTTACTAATCCTTAGTACAATGGGATGTATTTCCTGTACTAAACGTAATAATTAACTAACACTACTAATCCATAGTTTAGTAATCACAGAATTCATTGCATTAGGATGTGGGACATCATATAATTTCTCCTAGAATTGTGGCAGTGTTGCATCAGCCACCCACGGAGAATAAATTTCCACATATCTGTAGATGTAATAGAAGTTCAACCATTTAATTTCCTTTATCAAGGATAATTATTTAGTAATAGGTCTACTTTATTTAATATACAACAGTTTACTGGAATTCCTTTACCAAGCTTGATAGCTGTTCTAGTAAATAATATTATAATCTAAAATGATTTACACCTCCAAAGGATTGT